CCGTTACAGTTTTCCAAATGGCAAAGGAGCTGTGGTTTTGAGATTTATTAAGCTGCACTTCGCCCTCAGCAGTTTTTATAAGCATTGTGTTAGCAAAGAATGAAACGACATTTTAAAAGTATAGAGGTTTTCATTATCTTCCAGCATTTTGAGAACGTTATTATGGGCAAAATCTATTCCTCGTAGAACTATACTGGCTCTAGGAGCTGTAACAGCTATATTGTCTATTTATTCACACTAAAAAAATAACTTGGACAGAGAATGCAGTACTGAGAATTCCTACAATAGTTTGATAAGAGAACTTCAAAAGTTGTAGCATATAAGTTTGGATATCTATTGTTTCTTGTAATTTCTTCTATTTGTTATTTTTACAGCACTCAAATATATCCTGTCTGCTTAGCAGTACAATTTAAAGAACATGATTTCTTTCCTGCAGAGCCTAAAGTGGGACGTTAAGTATGTTGCACTGAGTGAATAAACAGAAATAGCAGGTGAGGAGGAAGGAGAACAGTTACAAGAACCATGAGGTCCAGAAGACGCACTTTAATCAGATGCAAATATCATTCTTGTTTTGGAGTAATGATGGCTTTTGAAAGCCTGCTCTATTCAGGGGATCAGATTAATGGTCCTTTCTGGCCTTAAAAACCTATGAATCAATCACAGCCCAGGCAGTGGTACAGCTTTGGCAGATGTTAAGGTCTGAAAACTTCAAATACCTTGTGAAATTTAGCCTCATATTCCCCAGTGTGCAGACCAACTTTTTCAGACCAGGGGATTGATACCAAGGTTTTCTCAGCAGGCTTTGGGATGCGCGGCGTGCTCTGCAGCGCCTGCTGACACTGAGCTGGGCTGGGGAGGGCTCATAAACCACCTGAAGCACCGACTGCCGGCTGAGTGGGGCGAGCTGTGAGACAGGCTCGCTGACATTTCGTCTTCCTATGTGGTACAGGAAAAGCAGCACTTGTTGAATTACTGCCTGGGTCTAGTAAAGAATTTGGTGGTTAATCTTTGCAAGCCACTTTGAGGCTGAAAAAAAACCAACAAACCACCAAGCTGCCTCAAATCTTTATAAAAGCCTTTTCTTAACTCAGTCCCATTTCCTATATACCATAAAGTTTTTTCTTTTCTTTTTAAGACTGGAGAAAAACAGACATTGCACCCAGCCGAGGGGCAGCAGAGCCATCAGCTGGGTGCAGCTCTGAGGGGGAAACAGGCCACAAGCAGAGATAACGCTGGCAAAGCCCATCTGCCTCTGGCAAGGGCTGGCTACACACTGATGGACAAGCAAAGACCATGTTCAAAGGGAAAAAGGAGGAAGCTCTAAATTCAGAAGAACTATCTAAAGAGGTATATTTACCATAGCAACTTCCTGGAATATACATAAATATTCACCTTTTGCATCCAGCTATTCCTAGCAGAGGTGCCATGTGGGGGGCTTTTGAAACGCCCTCTTAGCTGTTCTGCAGGCAGAGAACAAAGAGATTTACGAAACTTTGTCATTGGTGATGACACAGAGAAACTTTAAAAACCGTTCTGAGTCAACTTGTGGCAAATGTCTTTCCAAAATGAAACACTCATTCCCTCAAATCCTTCAATCAAGAAACAAGAGAGTTGTTTCCTCTTACCAATTTTAAAAATTATGTTTCCATGTAGCCTTGAAATATCATTTTGGAAAAAAAAAATCAAACATTTTGCTTTGAAAATGTCAAACAATTTTTTTTTTTTAAATTGTGGTTTAGTTACTAGCCTCAGGTCATGTTAAAAAGCATTTGCAATGAGCTGTACTTTGCATGGCTTCTAAGAAAACAAATGTCAACAGTTAAATATTTTATACTCACTTTGTGAATACATAAACGACCACAGAAAGTGCAGGATGTGGAAGAATTATACATTCTAATCCTAATGCTTTTACTGTATGAGGTGCCTAATTCAATAACCAAAAGGGTCATTAAAAAAAAATTGTAAAATAAAGATTGAAAAGAAAAGAAACTGGGAAGTTATAACAGAAGACATTTTATGAATATTTCACCATGTTGAAAAGGTATATGCAAACAGTATACAAACTAAGCAACAGGCGACAACGGAACTGCTTAAGTAAATGACAAAACCCAAGTAGGTGTAAACTGTCCCTTGCATGGCTTTGGGCTGCAAATGACGCTAAAGTCCATCAGATCAATATGATTCTGGAACAGCTTGCTCTCTCTGGATTTAAAACCTAACTTTAAAATGGCACTCGCTTTATAGAAGGATTGCATGGTAGCAGGGAGCAAAACTCCTCACAAGAGGTGCCTCCCCACCACACGTTGCTGGGAGCAGGCAGATGTGCACAAAACCACTGCCGCAGCGCACGGATGGCGGAAGCGGAGCAAAGGGGACGGTGACATGAAAATGTCCTTTAGGAGAGTCAGTGCCAGAGCTCACGACTGAAATTCCCGCTCCAACCCTGGGTGTTAGTCTTGACCACCCCAGTATGAAAAACTCTCCATTTAAAGAACAATATTGTTTTTAAAGGAAAACACTGGGGCTGGCTGAATAGAATATCCTATTTCAAAAGCTGTTATTTATTTGATTCCATTTATAATTGATATAGTTCTAGTTATATGATTTGCTGGCATTTAGAGCATATCAGAACATTTCCAAAAAACAACATTAAAAAAACCCCTGCTTGTGAGGCAGCCAATTAACATTAGTCTGATAAAACAAAAATCTACTTACCTAGAGGCTATCAGTGCCCTGTAAAGCCCTTTAGACTAGCAAGGACATAATCTACCAAACATGAGGGACATTTAAAAGCAAGATTAAATGAACATTGCAGGTAATGTTTTATAAAACACAAAAATAAAATATCACTCTTGCCCAACCCAAATTGCCCACTTGTCTTCAAATTAACAGTGTCGCTACACAGTGCAAAAAGTGAAGTATATTATCCAAGCACAATCTTTTCCCCTTAGAAATAGACACATGGGCCCCACTGAGGCTTGCATGTATGTAGTTTAAGTAGCTAGCTCACAATCAAAAAGCCCTTTCTGTGAGGAAATATTTCGTGAAACTTACTCTTAATACTCCTTTTGCTAAGTTTATTCTGTTATGCTTTGGGAAACTTTACAGTTCTCCTTTGCCTGTGCAATGTTTATACACTTGATCTAACCCTCTCACTTACGTGGATGTCATCAGAGTTCCCTTAAGCCCTAGATTAGCAAGACCGTATTTTGCTGAACGTGGGTAGCATTTAAAAATGAGCAGGATAAGTGAATATTTGCAACTGATGTTTTATAAAGCTTAAAATTACTTTTTGAATGTTTCTCCCACATGCTTTTGTATTGCTCTTTGAGCTTCAAGGAGGAAAGACATTCTTCTTGACATGCATAATTTAAAGTGATTTTTCTATTTCACACACAACCTCAGGTATTTTGTAGGACAATAAAGTATTTCAACACCAAAGCTTCCCAGATCAAAAAAATCTGTCCCCATCCGTTCCTCTCACAATCTGATTCAGGAGGAATAACTGCTGCTGAGAATCACTGGTACTCCACAGATCAGCCCTTTTTCCCCCACACTTTTCGGCTAGAGCTACCTAGATTTTAGCCAGAAGATTCAGATTTGTGAAAATGAAAGCCTTGGGGCTGTTTGCTCCAACCCATTGATTTTTACAAAATACCATGGGTGCCACCAGGTATCATTTGGTTTCCCACCAGTTTTCCCGACTTGGCAGCGGACGAGGCCAGAAGTCAAGGGGAAGCGGTAGCCCAAACATGGCAAGCGTTTTGGGATCCTTCAGCTCCTGATCTTCACCATGAGGTCCAGCAGGATCTCCTAGCTGATGTCTGTTGTGGCAGATAAAACAGGGCTGAGCACTTGAGCACCAGCCCAGCATCATCTGCCCTGTCTCACAGTTAGCAGTCCACCCTTGGCATGGCTTGGGCATATGCCCATCAACAGGAGCTGGGTTTGGTCCCTGCCACGATGCAGAGAACTGCAGGAGATGCCCAGGCCCTCCAGGACCACATTTCTTTGGGGCACTAGAGTTGCAGCTGGAGTTAAAGGCAGCTGGTTGTGTAGTTTTGTTCTGATCCTGAACTGAGGCATTTTCTCTTTCCTGATAGGAAATGCTTTGTGAGCTTTCTCACTACAAGGTGCATCAAAATGTTTAACTTCCATTCCAAGGAGGACATTTCCCTTGCCAGTACATCCAGTACGCTCTAACCTAGTTTATGTTTCAAGTAACCCTTCCCAGTCTCAGCCTTCCTCTGTTATCTGTAGCACAAGGGCTCCTTCTTCTTTTCTGTCTCTGTGTCCTTCTACTGACCGCCACTTTGCTGTGCCAGGGTAAGAGCGTGCAGTGGGGCAGGCCTGAGGTCCTTTGCATTCATTCATGATGTTGTCTTGGTGGCATAGAGGAACTATTTACATCTCATGTTTCTGACTTGCTGACCCTGACCAGTGCCTTTCTCATAGCGTTTCAGATTCAATGGGCCCTTAGCATCTTTAAATAAAACATGTAAAATACGAGCCCATAAGGACATGACTTTTTATAATGAGAAAGAGATGAAATCCCCATTCTCCTTTGTAGTCTTTTCAGCATCAGCCGGCTGCAGCCCAAAATTCCTTTTCTTCACCCGGTTTCCTCCTCCTCCCTGACTTTCTGTCAGTACTGCTACGAGGGGCCAGTCACTCCAGAACCCCAATTAACACCGTCTGTTTGACTCTGTTGCACAGAAAGACAGGCGAAAGTTCTTATTGGACTGGCCTGGAGCCTCTCTTTCCTGTTTTCCATACCGACTCTCATTATTTTTGGGAAACGGCAGCTCTCCAATGGGGAAGTGCAGTGCTGGGCTCTCTGGCCTGATGACTCCTACTGGATACCCTACATGACAGTGGTGGCTTTCCTGGTGTACTTCATTCCTCTGATCATTATCAGGTAAGCCTGAACCGCAGTCAGCGAGCGTGTGGTGAAAGCTGTCAAGTGTGCAATCAGCTTAATGCTTTAATTTCTACTCATTCATTACGATTTCATTTCCACACCTGCCTTATAGCTGCTTTGGTTTTTATCACATAATGCACGGGTCACTGTACTTGCCCTGGGTGTTCTCCATGAGGTAGCCAGAAACTAACTAAAACATTAATAGCCAGAAACATTTTCTCTGAAAGAAGGACTGAATCTCTAATTGTGACCACTTATCTCCACAGCTCCAGGCTTGAAACATCTTTATAAATCCAGTATGAATGTCTAGCTATTATGACAAAACATAATTTTCATAAAAGAACAGGAAACCACACAACGCTAATTAAACTAAAATACACTTAAAGTGCTCTCAAGCTTCATAGTAGCAGAAGAGTGTTTCTTCACCAGGATCAGAAAGAAATCTCCAAGCTTTTGAAGCTGCCAACCACTCCTAAAACACGAGCAAATAAAATTCTTCCTGGTTTGTAACGGGAAACCTGAGCTGCAAATATTTGAGACTGATTTGCCCAAAATCACAAAGACAATCTGCAGCAGAATCTATTTTAAACTGAGGTCAAAAAATATCCCAGACTGTGCTTAGTGATCAGTGAATTTTATTGCCTCCCTCTGGGGTGCTGCCATTAGCTGCTGTTAAACAAAAGTTATCTAGCCATGAGGAGCTACCAATGCAAAGGAGCAGTCAAAAAACGATGTGGAAGGGGAGTGTGGCTTCTTAACTGCCTTCAAAGGCTGCCAGTGGCAGTAACTTGTTGTCCGAGCCCTTTCCTTTCTTTCCCTTTTATTCTCTTCCAGTAGCAAGGTTACAATAGGATTTCTTGATGTCCATCTCTTCTTCTTTGTGGCAAAGAAGACTTGCTGGGACTCCTTTTTTTCCCCCATAATTTGGTGACACGCTGTTTGGGCTGTGAGAGAGGAACTATGTTTGCATGTCCCTTGGACATCTCTCTTGGCCCATCTGCTTTTCCAGCAGGTGATGAGCCATGAGTCTCCGTTGGCTTCCTGCTCATTAGCACCCCAGGTGAGAGCGGTGGGGGGGGGCTGATCTTTTCTAGATGATGACAGGAGTGGCTACATAAGCTAAATAGTAAAGGCTGTGTCGTGGTTTTAGTTCCTTTCCAGTCGAGCTGTGCCTTGAAGTTTCTTACTGTTTAACTACGGAGATTAAGTTCTGCAGCTTCTAATGGCAACCAGTTTATCTCTGATAGAATCAAAACCACATGGTGCTTGAACTCATCTAGCTGACTTTTTGATACAGATTCAACATTGACCAGTGGTGGTCCCTCCCTAGAGAGAAGGGACAATTTTTATGCTTTGCTCATAACACATCAGTTTGCTAAACCTTCCATTTTTGTGCCAGATTGCACAGATATAACAAACAAAATCATGAAAAGTTCTCCTTAAAGAAAGGACATGATAGCAATAGAGGAAAACTACACCCAGATTCTCCAATTGCTCTTCCTTCCTAGACAGGATCATTTCTCTTTGTATGTTTTGCTGGATCTTAAAACCAGACTAGTTTTAAATAAATAAAAAAATATTCTTGGGAATATGTAAATAAAAATGTGGGTGGATCTGCAGCCCAGCACTAGCAGCAAAAAGAATAAACACACACAGAAGAGACAAAAAGTAATTTAACTGTGCAAAAGAAATGGCACTAGAAAACTTTGAGGCTGGCTGTTACTATGAGAGGAGCTTTGTTACGAATTTTCTCAAGTAGCTAGGAATCAGGAAATTCTAGCCAGCATCTTAAGTGATTTAGGCCCATAGCCTGTCCAGTTATCAGTCATTCCACAGGTGTGTGAAACATCTCTTTCACACTCAAACTTACAGATTCTCACACTTTCTATTACAGATCAGCCTCTCCCTTTTACATGGCATTTATACTTGTTTGGCAAGAAAAGGCAAGCTACGTAGCAACAAATTTTTCAGAGCTGCTGACATTATGCTCCCCTCCTCCCTGCCAAAGGAAGATATTCAAACCAGATCAGCTCTGTGACTTACTTTACAGTAAATCCCCAAAAGCAACAAGGCGATGAAGACATGAGGGAAAGGGAAAGTCAGTGAAACTGGCATTTCATGAGATTGCCCTGACAGCTGAGACATGAATTAAGCATCCTAAAATTTTTGCGGCTTTAGCCTTAAGCGACTTTCACATGGGAAGTTTATGGCAGGACAGGAACTTAAAACACGGGCCTCGGAGGCACAGGGCAGAGCTGTGCCCGTGGCCTGCCCAAACACGTTCCTGGTTTCAGTGCACACTAACACAAATGCTCCCACGTCCTTGCCAGCAGAAGTCAAATTCTTGAGAGATCCTAAGTGGTACCAGGCACTGGGAGGAGGGAAGGGGGGTGAGCCAGGGAAAGATTTTTTTGTGCCCTTGTATTTCTAGTTGTCAGTGATACTATTTTCTTCGGAATAGAGATTGTCTAAAACCTTATAAAAAGAGGATTACCACCAGGGCAAGGTCAGCAGAGACATTATGAACAAATGCCATGCAGTTTGGAAAGAACTGGCTATTTTTTAGAACATTTTTTCAAGTTTCAAGCACACAACTGAAGGTTGCAACTTCCCAGCTGATGCATCTGTAAAACACCTGTCAACATAGCCTCAAGGCGTGACATCCATTTCTTTAAAATTTCTTGGCAGTCCAGAATTTTAAAGCTAATCCACCTAATGTGGCTGCAGCATATAAATACTCTGGTGAGCAGTTTGCACCCAAAGAATGGCAGGAATGGCTGTTAACGTCTTCAGGGACTCAATTTCTCTGCAAAAGTTTTGTTCCACTGAATACTTTCAGATGCACAGTAGGTTTGATGACAAACAAGATGCTGTTTCATAAGGGTGAGTGCGAGAGATCATTTACATTGTAGTTGTGTGTCACTCTGTCAAACGATTAATTATAAAACTGACAGGTGTTATTCAGTAAATGAAGGAAGGCATTTTGTGATTTTTTTAATTTAATGGTCTTTAGCTGAAGATGTTATTACAAAAGGCCACAACATAACGATGGAGAGACGATCCATAAATGTGTGACTGAAAAGTCAAGGATCGGTATCTAAGGAGCCGGGAATACGAGTAAACCAGAAGCCAAGGCACGCACCACACTTACTGAGGAACTGAGACAGGGTGCACTCAGAGAAAGAATAAGACCTTTTCTGCAATAATTCATTTTGTTTGCGCAGCTACTTTATTTTCTCTGCCGAAGCACTCATTTAGCTGCATGGCAGGTGCCTGACGCAAAGTGGGACACTGGCTGGCGGAGTTAATTCTTAATTAGTTCTGCTGCCTGAATCTGCTGAAAACCTAACCTCTAGAGCAAAGCAGTTCACTGATGACAGCACTTTTTCTGGCGCAGTTCATCCGAAGTGCATACAAAGGATAAAATTTTACTTTTCAGGTGCAGGACTTAATTCCACACTAGATAATGCCGCTTTGGCTGAGCAGTTTTCACTTGCTACAGTCCAGGTACCATCATCTTTTAAGCTTCTCTCATCCATCCCTCAGCTCTCTCAGCAGAGCTGATTTCACATGTTCCTGACGCAGCCTTCAACTAAGTCACAGGAGTTGTGTTATTCATAACACTACAGCCCGTGGAATGAATTATTTAGCTGATAACCTTACGCTAAGCCTGGAAAACCCTTCCACCGACAAGCTAATCCCCCAGATGTGGTGTGAGCAAACCCTATAGATTCCAAGCCAAAACACGAACCAGAAGAAAACAACAATCTGTCCCCTTTTTTAAAACGTATATATAAAAAGGCAATCTATGAACAAAACTGCAACAGCCCTGAAAGATTTAAAAACTTGGGAGGTCTGTTCCCACCACTTCTTCACAACTGGAAAATCAGCAATCAGTTATCAAACAGCTCGTGGTTTTGTGGTGAGTTTTTTATCTGATTATAATAGAGACAATCAAGACCTGAATAATGAAGAGAATGAAAAGCTGTGATTAGATTTTTAACCCAAGTGTGTGGTTATCTTTGAGAGCTGAGAAAAGGGAAGAATATTTGTTCTTTTCATGTAAAAGCTCCCCTCCTCCCCACTGTCTCAGTGTCAGTCAGGGAGAGCTACAGATCCTGCATCAGGTTCTTCTTTACAGCGCTTAAAAATTTGGCCTGTTCTTCCCTCTTATTTAGACTTAGTTGATATTGTCAACCTACCAAACCCCCCAAAATTTAGAAAAATTAGTTAGGCAACATGCAGTAATTAGTTCTCTCCTGTTCTGGGACAAGTGTCATCAGCTATAACCAAAGCCATTTCTCTTACACCAAGATATGCCAAGCAAAGCTCAAACAGTAGCTGTGATAGCTGAATATCTCTGGGGCGTTGCTGAACAGAGGTTAAATATGGGTCAAATCAAGATTACAGACGTCTCTCTTGCAAATATTTGCACCTTGGCCCTTCAGGTCCTGTGATGGGGAGACAGGAGAGCTACTGGGTTTCTATTCTGTATCGCTACTCTGTGCCAAACCATAATTACAATCTGGCACTTGAGTATCCAGAAATTCAGAGTCGTTTTAGCTGTTATTCACGATTGCCAGATATATTTTTTTATATTTTAACCTGATAAATGTAATACATAGGCATTTATCTAATATAATTCCAAACTCAGGTTAAAAAAAATTGCAAAAGTTGCTCTTCAAGCACAGAGGAAAAAAATCCATCTGCTGTTTAAAATCAAAACTCCAAAGAGAACATTTGCTTTGGAGCAGCAGAAAAATAATTAGAAGAGAAAAAACAGAATCAGCTAAAAGGAAAAATATGGAACTAAACCCAAGACATTGCAATGAAATAAAAAATAGATTAAATAAAAGGTATTTGTCTGAATTGCATCAAATAAAGGGAATAAAAATGCCATTAATAAAAATACCAAAGGTCATTTTTTGAGCTTGATTCAGTGAGCACAATCCTTTTTGCCTGCGATTTCCATTTCTAAATAAAAAAGCCTAGATCTTGCACATATGTTCTAATATCTGCCCGTCTACTGACTTACCCATTACGCATGCCTACAATGGTTTGTTCAGATGATGTTACATATGCCTTTTGTCTTTGGATAAATAGTGCTGTAAATTAGCTACCATAAAACATAACGCAGCTGCATCATTTTGCACAAATAAAGTACAAGGAACAATAGGCAATGCTGGATGATAAATACAAGCAGTTAGCAGGGAGCGTAAATGTACTTTTTGCCATGGTAAAGGCTCATTTTACTAGTAAATACTGAGGTTGGGTTGGACGCTATCATAATGCAATCATTAATTTAAAAAAAAAATAATCATCTCTGTTTAAAGAGTGGGCAGATCAATAACTCTTATGATTATTAATAACAATACGTTGTTTTACCAGAAGACATTTTATTTTCCAAAACAAAAGTGATCTATGAATTAAAACTAAAGACGGAGTAGGACTGTTCATGGTAGCATTTGTGTGACTAACCATAAGTTAGTTATTTCCATGAACAAAGAATGCTGTAATTACCAATGGGGTCATATTAAACAACACCATTAACTAATAACATGCTACAATGAACATGCATCTTAGTCCTTCAGAATTTGGATCAAGCTAAATTGCTTTTGGAGATGCAACGAATTTAATTTGCTGAGATACATCCACAGTCTGAACCATATTCTTGTATTTTCCTGCCACCCCTCCAGATATGCCTCTTATCAGGGCTAGAAAAATCACTGCGTTTTCAGATCAACAGCATGTCCTTTCTATCCTGTGGTATTCAAAGCCTGAGCAGCTCCTTCTCAAAAAGGCTTGGATTATTTTTCCATCCAGGTTTGACTGCTCCACCTGAGCTTTTTCTTCCCTTTCTTTAGTCTCTCACCTGCAAATAATGAGCCACAACAACTCATATAGTATTTTAATACCATAGTATGCATTAAAATGACTACAGCACATCTTTATGTAGCTCCCAAGGATCCCCAGCGAGGGCTGGAAGACCAGTGCACTACAAACTTACAGACACAAAGAAATCTGACAACATCTAGACCTAACAGACCGTACGTCACATCACCAGGTGCTTTCAGTGGAGACAAGAGCAAGCAGCATGCAGGCATGTTACATGTGTTGGAAAACGAGGTTTGTGGCAATGTGTACGGTGTGCTTTTACATCTTGGCAGTGAAGGTTGAGTAGCTTGATGTCGACAGGAAGGAAACAGAGATTACCATACAGTCAGAATGGTGCAGACCATTGCTGAACACCCTCCTGTCCATCTGAACACCAGTTGTCATCTGTCCCCCAGTACTCTTTGCTCATCTGCCACTTCATTTTCTACCCAGTGGGAATTTCTTCCCACCCTTTGAGATGTCGCCAGCCGCCACGTCCTCCTCCAGCCACCTTTAACAGAAAGACAGAAGCTACAAATGCATTCTGAAAAAAACTGCTTTTCCCTTGTAAGAAAAATACAACTTCTGTTCCATAAGTACTCTGTTTTTATTTCTGTGCCTTTGAAACATACACACAGATGCCTTTTATGATCTTAAGCTTTGGGTGACACATTTCTGGAAACTCCAGTTTCTTAGCTCCATGTCAGCATAGCTGGGGGGTGG